CTGAACTCCAGAGATGTTCGGAGGCTCTGAAACTCCTGGTGAAGAACCTCGAGCAGATGGAGTCGCCCCTCAAATCCCAGAAGCCGTTTATCAATAGAATCTAATAATTCTAATATGTCCTTCCGGGGAGATGAGGCCTCAGGCGAGTCCTGAGGACGGCTTCTCTTGGTCCCAGCAGGTGCTTCAGCCTCAGCTGCTGATTTCTTCGGACCCATGACGAATAACTCAAAAACGTCGTCAATATAATTTAACAAACTTTCTAAATTTCCATCACTTACCTCCAGATTGAGTGAGTTATACTTACCAGATTATTTTTTGCGTTGTCAGTAAATAAATTAGGCGAAAATGTGTCTTAATTGTTTGTGGATGTTTGTTAACGAGCTGCCATCAGCTTCAAACGCTGCCGTGTATCCGGTGATCGACCGTCAGCGCATGCTCAGTCTGACCTAAGACATGGACATAGTTTTGACTTTAGAAGTGGGGTGGGGCGGGGACAACCGGCATGAGGACAGTGGGGGGGTTAATCTTTACAGTAAGTATACAAAAAAGGTTCCCAGTTTAACCACCCCTAATCGGTTCTTCAAATGTGGCTTGTCCGAAAGCCCTCCCAGTCACCATGGTTACACATGCTGGAGAACCAACCTGCTCCAAGACAGCTAGGCTTACTGATGCTTTTTGAATATGATTGGATGAGTCATGTTATATTACCTTTTTCTTGTCGGTGGCTGGCAGCTACGCAGTGGTAATTTAGCACCACCGCTGGCCCATAGCGGTAACAGCATTTGCAGTTGTGTTCTTTTCTAATGGGAAACAGGTTTCAATTCAGTTTATTTATATAACGCCAAATCACGACAGAGTCGTCTCAAGGCACTTCACAAAGTAAACATTCCAGTACAGTTCTGTTCATTAAGCCAATCAGTAAAAAGTTTCCTATATGAGAAACCCAGCAAATTTTATTGAGTCACTGACCAGTGTCAGTGTCTTTACAGCAATCCTCATACTAAGCAAGCATGCAGTGACAGTGGAGAGGAAAACTCCCTTTTAACAGGAAGAAACCTCCAGAGGATCCTGGCTCAGTATAAGCAGCCATCCACCATGACTCACTGGGGATCGAGTAGAACACACACACACACACACACACACACACGCACGCACGCACGCACGCACGCACGCACACACACACACACACACACACACACACACACACACATACAATCCATCCATCCATCCATCCATCCATCCATCCATCCATGGCTTGTTCCTGAGGGAGTGGAATTGTTTTAGAGCCTTATTGTTGGCAGAATCTCAAGTCAAAGTCATTTTATTGTCATTTCTACCACATGTGCAGGACATACAGAGAAACGATATAAATTTTAGCTCTTCACCTGGAATGGGTCCCAACGTGGTTTGCCTGGTGTTGCCATAATGTTACGTAGGGCTGGGCAAAAAATCAGAACTGTATTGTTATCGAAATTTCTGACTCTAATCAAGATAATTTTTCCCATGTCAATAAATTTGATAATAAAAAAATGAAAAGATGCGTGTAGGTTGGCAGCGTTCATGTCCCTTTGAGAAGCTGTACCACCTTGAGTCACGTGACTCAATGTAATACATGTGATAGCCCCATCTAGTGGACAACTTTTGTTTCTGCACATACCTGTAGTTATCGTCCATTTATCGTTATCGAGGTAAAATCCTCAATATATCGTGATATTAATTTTAGGCCCTCTCGCCCAGCCCTTGTGTGACGTCATAGGTAGGTACAGATCTCCAGTCCTCTTTTTTTGGAATTGCCCTATTCTAGTGTCATTTGTAGGGGATGCAGAAGAAACACGTCAAACGTGTAGAAGGTTTGATGTGAAGAGTTTGACGCCAAACTTGTTTAAACAAATTCTACCTGGAAAAAAGAAGTGTCTGCGATCCCAGAAGTTCAGATGGTTGAAGAAGCAAATATTCTCTCTGTAGCATGTAGAAGTTAACCAGGAGTTGAAGGCAAAAATCTGGGAGGATCTTTCAACCCCTCTTCTGACCGGTGGTAGCGGACCACTGAAAAACACCTTTGTTTTCAGAGAGCTGAGTGATTTCAACAAAGCAGTAATGTCCTGATTCAGCATCTCTGACTGTCTTTCACCAAGCTCTGGAACAGCCTTCCCCTACAGATTAGGTCTGCTGACAGTCTTTCTGCTTTTAAGTCTCTTTTAAAAACCTACCTACAGGAACCAGCGCTGCCAGGTTCCTGACTGGGACCAGGAAACGGGACCACATCAGTCCAGTTCTGGCCTCCCTGCACTGGCTTCCGATTTCCTATCGCTCACAATTCAAAATACTTGTCTTTGTTTATCATTTCTTCCAGGGTGGTGGTCCCCCCTATCTGGCCACACTCCTGAACAGACATTCCCCATCACGCGCTCTGCGATCCTCTGACCGAGGCCTGCTCGCTGTCCCTCGGTCTAGGTGTCGTACCCGTGGGGACCGGGCTTTCTCAGTCCTAGCACCGTTACTCTGGAACCAGTTGCCACCCTCAGTTAGGCTGTCCCCTTCTCTGCCAGTCTTTAAGAATCACCTAAAAACACACCTCCTCCGCTTGGCGTTTCCAGAACATGTTTGATTATGGCCCTCTATTATGTTGAATCCATTCCAGTTTTCATTGGTACACTCAATCCATCCACTCAATCCAATTGTGTTTCACACATTTGTATTTTACCGGAATGTTTCATCTATCTTGTAATTTCCATTTTGTATTTTGTAATTTTTTATTTTGTAATTTGAATTTCTTTTATTGTTGATTTATTCAGTATAATTACTTACAACTGTACCATGTTCAGCGCTTTGGGCTTCCTGACAGGGTTGCGGAAGGCGCTTTATAAATAAAGCTTTGATTGATTGATTGATTGATTGATTGATACCTTTTTACCCTTGTCGTGAGCGTGTCCCATTTATCGGTTTCTTTAAAACCTGGTTCCGTTAGAACTTATAAGACTGCGCTGCTTTCTCAGGGTTCGTGGGGCGTCGGTGAGTTTTATTGTATTAGACCCCGGTTTGGATTCCCTAATTAGAATCAGTTTCCTATTTTAAGGTGAAATGATATGCCATACTCAATTCTTTTGCGATAGCACACTTCCTTTTTAGATACTCACGCTATCTAGTGGTCCTAGATACTAGGGCAAATTTCAGCGGGTGGCCATCCGTTGCTGACAATTCTTTGGGTTATTAGGATTAATTTGTGCCTCTGTCAGCTTTAGTGGGCGATGGTAACTAGAAAATTATTCTTGTTAGTTGATCAGGCTAACATAGATTTATCAATTAATCTAATTAATCCAACCTTCCCACGCTGGCAAAGACTTTTTCACACTTGCAAACAGAGCCTATTTTAACCTACTAATGTTTTGGCTTATCATCCTTAAGACATCTCGTTACTCACAGGAGAGGAGAAGACAAGCTTCTTTATTTAAGGTTTCTTTTTCTTAATCTGTCACAAACCGTAAAGCAAATCCTGATAATTCAGGAACCTGTAATTAATGTGCTTACCTCTCCTTATTGTTCAGGTCGGGGCCCCAACTCTTAACCTTTAGAAAGGACCTGGAAGAATCAGGGATTTGGATCTTTTTCAAAAAAAGTTTATTACAAGATTAAAAAATACAAAAAATGGGTAGATATAAGACTGATCTCCTCCCCCAATGAGAAATTAATCCTAATAATTAACTAAGAATAATGAGTTGGCTTACACCAACTCTAAGTCTTCTTCAGCTTCAGGTTAATACCCTCTAACACACGCTCACTGACTGCCCCAAAATCTGTCCTGGACGGAGGACGACCTCTTCTATCCCAAATCTGCTCTCTACTCCTGGCTGCTCTTTTTATACTCTTCTTGGGACCGCCTAGACAAGGTAATAGTCTTCTAGTTACACATATATCATTATCACATGACAGTAAGGTCATGGGGTCATTTACCAGTTTCACACTTTTTTAGTTCAACACATTCTTCAGGAAGGCTTTTTAGCTTAACGCAGGTCATGTGGTGTCTTTTCCCGAAGTCCAGCATTCTTCATGAAAGCTTTTCGTCTCCTGATGAGCTCTTTTCACTCTGTCTCCTTCAGTCCCACCTCTCCTGCTGCTGGTAGGGTCAGGCACTTCTTGACCTTCTGCCCAATTTTGCTCCCAGAAGCAAGTTCTGATCCCTTATCTCGGCGACCCTTCCGTGACCCTCGCTTCTCGCCACAGTTTCTGACCCGCAGGAACTTGCAACACCCTTGCTTTTAATTCATTTTATAGTTCAGTAATTGTAGGGTCTACTGGAAAGCTCTCAGTGTTTTATCATTTTATTTCTACTGCTTGTCTGTGTACAGCACTTTGTGCAGTCTCTGATTGTTGGAAATGTGCTTTATAAATAAACTTGACATTGACATTGACTGCTCACAGATTTATCAAGAGGCAGAGAGCCCTCCGGCCTCTTTGTTGGAGCGTTGTTGCTGCTTACTGACTGTGTCCCACCATCCGCTTGTCCAGCAATCTGAGTAGATGAGAGGGTGTTGTCATTTCCAAACAATCCATTTACTTCCCAGTTGACTTCTAGTTGAGACATTTTAGTTTCAAGAACTGTGATCTTCTGGAGAAGTCTTTTTGGAAGTCTTCTGAGGAAAAGGAAGGCACTGTGCTGCTGTAAATCTGCTGGGAGGTTTCAGCTGGTCATAGCCATTGTAGATCAAAGTCATAGTACAACATTCTGTTGTAGATTTCTCTGTCAATTTAAGAAGATCCCAGCGATTTAAAGGAGTCCAGTAGTTACTGAGTAGAAAAGTTGGTAAATGAAAATCTCAGTGAAAAACGAAATAAAAGAAAAAAGGAGAAGAAACGTAATCAAGCAAGAGTTTCAGGTTGAAGAACTGAGAACAAATATTCTTGTTAGTTTGATCCAGAATGTTCCAGGATCCAGTCTCACTAAGTGACTCAACTCAGCATCAATCAGTCATTTAATTCATCACTTTAAATGTTTTAAACAGGATCCATCAGAGACTCGGACCTGGACCTGGACCCAGCTGTGTGTCCTTTAAGAGCGACCGGTCAAAGGATTTTATAATTCACTTTAGTTCATCAGGAGCCCCCCCAGCCCCAGCAGAGAGGTGAGCTGTATCTAAATGTTGTAACTGTGTAAAATGTAACTGAGTCAGTCTGAAATGTTTGATTCCAACATGTGTTTAATGTGAGCTCAGCTCTTTTCACACTCATGTCTATGTTCAGATGTGTGTGTTGGTGAAAGAATGGATGTTAGGGCTGGGACGATCATCAATAAATAATTTAATCGTACAATAGATGAAAATTAACTCAGTTTTCCCAGCTTTTACATATCGGTCTTTGTCAGACACGTGACCTGCATGTCATCCACGCACCCTTATATTGTTACCTCTACCTTTTAACTCATGGACGTAATTTTCACTTTAGAAGTGGGGGGGCATGGGGGTGGGGGGTGTATCTTTACAGTTTACTCTAATGGGAAACAGGCTTCAACACAAACGGTCGTTTTCTGCTTGGTCCTAGAGCTCAACCAGTGTCAATTTAATATAGCGTAATATTGGCTTTGGACCATCGACATATATACTGGACAATTAATTTCCATGGCTCCAATATCACTTTTTTGAGGCCAAATGGGAGGTGGCCACCACTGCCATTTTGACCGTGTCACAGGTTCCGTCAAGCCCAGACAATTCCAAAAAAGGGAAGAGAGGAGGAGCTGAGGGTGGGGCTGTAAGGCTGGGATCGACTGACAACACCTGGTCGAACTAGCTACAAGCTAACCTGAAGCTAACCCAAAGCTAATGCGGAGGTGGGAGCTAAGCTAATGGAGGTAGCAACCTAGCTACAACCGGAGTTAACTGTGCACAACACCAGAGCTTCTGAGTCAGAGATACGCCGGGCTGACCGCTGGGTAAAACCGGGTGGAACACAGAGGTCTCCGAGAGCTCCACAAGCTGGCAGCCGAGCAGCAGACAAGCGCCGCTGCGATCTGACCCCGGCTTTCCATGGGAGCCGTCAGCAGCACGTTACTGCAGCAGCACGTCATAGCTGCTGATAGGAACCGCTGTGGTCAACAGAACCTTTTCCACTGGAGCCGTCGGCAGCCGTCAGCAGCGCGAGTCGGCCGCGTCTCAGAAGCAGCATGTCGCGGCCCTTACGCGCCGGTAAGGTTTAGTCGGGTCATTGTCCCGACATCTCCAATGCAATGTAAGCTGCACGGCACTAAATTGGCCTCATTGGCAATGAGCTCTGTCAATGTCCCGACAGTCACCGTGTCAATAGCCCACCTTTTTGCCTTCGAGCATACACCCCTGCGCCGACCGCAAAAGTCCATCGGGTGGCGATCACGTTCCACCGTAGAATTTTCCATGCATTTTCACTGATGCCTTCACTCCACCGAGCCGACCGGTCTACGGGAGCTCCCCGGTCCCCCGGGTGTCCGATTGACCTGGGAGTTGGGGGGTTTCGACCAGCAGGTCCCCGGGGTGCCCGATGGACTAGTGGAAAGTAGTTTGGGTGCCAAAGAGAATTTAGGGTCGTGGGGTCACGCCCTTTCGGGGTTCACACCAGCAGGTCCCAGGGGTGCCCCATGGGCTAAGGGAAAGTAGTTTGGGGGCCAAAATGAACGAAGGGTCGTGGGGTCACGCCCTTTCGGGGGGTCTTTCTAGCCCCCCCGCCGTTCCCCGGGCCATCGCCGCCGTCTCCCGATTCCGACGTTTTGTCCCAAAAGTCGACCGGGAGTCAAACCGAGGCCGCGGGAGGTAGTCCCCGTCCGCCGGCGGCGTGCCCTCCGAAAACGGCGACCCCACGACCTGAAACGGCAAAGTTGCTTTTCCCGAGGTCTTTGGGCAATTTCACTCCGGGGGCCGACTCGGGGCCTCCCCTGGTGGGTGCCGTGCGAAAACCAGGTGTACCAGACGTTCCCGAGGGCGGTTTCCCACGTTTGACCCCGAGGGGCCAAAATCTGCACGGACACGCGGCCCTCGAAAAGGTCCGACGGTCACGATTTCGACGTGCGTGGATGAGATGGTAGCCGGGATGCACGACCCAAAATTTCGTGCGGCTACGCCAAACCGAATTCAAACGGCGGCCCAAAAGTGTGAAAATTTAGCTCAGGCTTCATTTGCGGCCTTCTGCCATTTCACATGCATTCACCGGCATTTTTGCCATTTCCCTTACATGAATGTAAAAGCAATTTTGGTCTCAAATTTGAGCCTCCTTTTGGCCGCCGTTCGGCCATCGTTGATCCGAGGCGCCCGAAAACTCTTCTGGTGCATCCCAGCACTGGCCCGAACCACATACGTCGAGTTGGTGCCGGTCGCATTGTGTTAAGCGTCCGTTTGGGGCCCGAGGGCACTTTTCCCTCCATTTTTGACGTGCTCGGCAAGGTGGCATTTCTCAACCGATTTTAACAAAACAAACATCAATTTGGCATGCCTCCGTCACCCCGAGCTAGCCCAGGCAGTTTGGTAGCCGTAGCTTGTTGTTCCGGTGCTGTTCTGGGTAAGAGGTCAGAAAAAATGATGGATTTCAGCTGAAAAGCAGTGTTCTCTTCAACCTAGAGACTTGAAACGTGCACTGTTTCTTTAAATAGCTGACAGCTTAAACATATTCAGTTTTCAAGTTGCTGGCTTATTCAGAAGGGTCAAGGTTCACAGCCTCTTGGTACGTGCAGAGAAAATGATGGATTTGGGCTGTTTTGGGGCTGAAAACAGGCTTCTCTTCAACCTAGAGACTTGACACTTGCACTGTTTCTTTAAATAGCTGACAGCTACCACATACGTCGAGTTGGTGCCGGTCGCATCGTGTTAAGCGTCCGTTTGGGGCCCGAGGGCACTTTTCCCTCCATTTTTTGCCATGTGCTCGGCAAGGTGGCATTTCTCAACCTATTTTAACAAAACAAACATCAATTTGGCATGCCTCCGTCACCGCGAGCTAGCGCAGGCAGTTTGGTAGCCGTAGCGTGTTGTTTTGGTGCTGTTCCTGGTCAGAGGTCAGACAAAATGATGGATTTCAGCTGAAAACAGGGTTCTCTTCAACCTAGAGACTTGTAACTGCTACTGTGTGTTCCTTGACCTCACAGGTCCAACATGTGTAAATTGCAGACAGATTGGAGCTTGTGAAATGTCTTGTGGCAGGCGGGCCAAAATGTGCTCGGACACGGGTCCCTTAAGGGCCCTCGAAAAGGTCCGGCGGTCGCGATTTCGACGTGCGTGGATGAGACGTAGTCGGGATGCACCACCCCAAATTTCGTGCGGCTACGCCAAGCCAAATTCAAATGGCGGCCCAAAAGTGTGAAAATTTAGCTCAGGCTTCATTTGCGGCCTTCTGCCATTTCACATGCATTCACATGCATTTTTGCCATTTCCCCTACATGAATGTAAAAGCAATTTTGGTCTCCAATTTGAGGCCCTTTTCGGCCGCCGTTCGGCCATCGTTGATCCGAGGCGCCCGAAAACTCTTCTGGTGCATCCCAGCACTGGCCCGAACCATAGATTTCGAATTCGTGCCGGTCGCATCGTGCTAAGCGTCCGTTTGGAGCCGGACGGCAGTTTTCCCTCCGTTTTTCCCGCCTTTTTGCCATGTGCTTGGCAAAGTGGCATTTCTCAACCGATTTTAACCAAACAAACATGAATTTGGCATGTCGCCGTCACCCCGAGCTAGCCCCGGCAGTTTGGCAGCCGTAGCTCGTTGTTCCGGTGCTGTTCTGAACCCTAGGTCACCAGAGGTCACGCTCTTTTTTGGCCACAGCTCCTCAAGGGAACGCCCGATCCATCCCGTTTTTGGAGAGGTGGTCCCCGTGGTGCCAAGCAATCATAATCCACTGTCAAAATTGGAAAAAAAAAAAAAAGTCATGTCTGAGTTTGACCAAAAAATGCCCTCTTAGACGCAACGCCTGAAAGAGGACTTGTGTTTTGCTGTTGAAAAGTGGAAAAAAAAAATTCTGCTGGTGCCAGCGGCGCCATCTTCGGATATGTGGTTCGGGGTTCAAACATGAGTCCACCCGAGGTGGTTCGGTGTCAAAATATTTTGTGGTTCCGGAGATATAGCCCCCCAAAGAGCGCGATTTTTGCAGATTTGCAATGGCGCAATTCTAGCGCCGTGAGGGCTATCAAAAAGGCGAGTAGATTTTTGCGCTCGTACCGTATTTCCGAACCAGAGAGTGAAAAAAATTTTCGACTACGCCCCCTTGTGGCCGAACTTTGTCAGTGAGCGACGTAGCGTGACGCAGCTAAAATATTATGATTCGGCATGTCTTTCTTTACAACATATGTGAATTTCATGTCCCTACGTGGAATTTAACTATTTTTAATGAATTAAAAGCAACCGGCAAAACCCTAGGCCCGAAACCACGATTTTTAGACCCTTTTTGGCCGCCGTTCGACCATCGTTGATCCGAGGCGCCCGAAAACTCTTCTGGTGCATCCCAGCACTGGCCCGAACCATAGATTTCGAATTCGTGCCGGTCGCATCGTGCTAAGCGTCCGTTTGGAGCCGAACGGCAGTTTTCCCTCCGTTTTTCCCGCCTTTTTGCCATGTGCTCGGCAAAGTGGCATTTCTCAACCGATTTTTACCAAACAAACGTCGATTTGGCATGCCGCCGTCACCCAGAGCTAGCTCAGGCAGTTTGGTAGCCGTAGCTCGTTGTTCTGGTGCTGTTCTGGGTCAGAGGTCAAAAAACATGATGGATTTCAGCTGAAAACAGGGTTCTCTTCAACCTCCAGGCTTGACACTGATACTGTGTGCTCCTTGACCTCACAGGTCCATCATGTGTTCATTTCAGACAGATTGGAGCTTGTATCACAGATATGCAACCAGAAATATGTGAAATTGTGCTTGGTGCGACATATCTCTGGGTGCCATTTAAAAACCATAAGTGGTAATGACTCCATTCCTTCTCCTGGTGATAGGGGCTGGTAAGCAGAGTAATTTAAAACCAACCTGACCTCTCTAGGACATTCAGAAGCCAAGTTATGAGCCTCCAAAGGTGTAACTGGAAAGCGGCCTCTAAGAGACACCAAGCCCGGTGACCTTTGGCACATCATTTGACCCCCTTAGGAATGTGCTATCATCATGAAACGTTGCAATCACTTATAACTCAATAGGTTCTACTTTCCTGTGATGTTTCAGCCTGATTGAAGCTTTTTGCAGGGAACTGGAACCAAAATTATGTGAAATTGTGCTTGGTGCAACATAATCCTGGGTGCCATTTAAAAACCATAAGTGCTATTGACTTAATTCCTTTTTGTGGTAGCAGAGGCTGTTAATTGGAGTATTTTAAAACAAACCTGACCTCTCTAGGACATTCAGAAGAAACGTTATAACACACATGGAACAAAAATTATGTTATGTTACGTCAAATCTGCCATTTGATAGACAAATGTAGGGAGAATGACAAATTGCCCTTTTTTCCCTACATTCGTCCGTCTAATGGCAACACTTTGCCATTTGCCGGACGAATGTAGTGGGAGTGGCAAAGTGTTGCAATTTGCCGGACAAATGTAGTAGGAATGGCAAATTGCCATCTGTCCTACATTTGTCCGGCAAATGGCAAAGTACTGCCATTTCCTATAAATTTGTCCGGCGATTGGCAATAAATGCCATTCAACGGACGAATGTTAGGGCAAATGGCAAATTGACAATTACCGGACAAATGTAGGAGAAATGGCAGTACTTTGACATTTTTTTCCTACATTTGTCCGGCAATTGGCCGTTTGCCATATGCCGGACAAATGTAGGGTAAATGGCACTGATTGTCATTTGCCCGACAAATGTAGGGGGAATGACAATCAGTGCCATTTGCCCGACAAATGTAGGGGGAATGACAATTACTGCCATTTCCCCTAAAATGTAGGGGAATTGGCACTGATTGTCATTAGCCCAACAAATGTAGGGCTAATGACAATTAATGCCATTTCCCCTAAAATGTAGGGGAATTGGCACTGATTGTCATTAGCCCGACAAATGTAGGGGTAATGACAATCAGTGCCATTTGCCCTAAAATGTAGGGGGAATGACAATTAATGCCATTTCCCCTAAAATGTAGGGGAATTGGCACTGATTGTCATTATCCCGACAAATGTAGGGGTAATGACAATCAGTGCCATTTGCCCTAAAATGTAGGGGGAATGACAATTAATGCCATTACCCCTAAAATGTAGGGGAAATGGCACTGATTGCCATTTTCAGTAACAAATGTAGGGCAAATGGCAATTGTTAGTTTGATTTTCACCTAAGTATTCTGTCAAAACAGTTCATCACTCAGTGCATCCTAGAAGGTCCTGGGAAGACTCCAAGCAAAACCAATGTGTTGTTTATGACTGCCTGCAGACTCTTCTCCAAAGTGTAATGTCTGTGAAGAAGTATGTACTTATCTATAACTTGGTGTGTGCTCCCAAATAAAGTGTCCCTGCAAAACCAATGTGTTGTTTATGACTGCCTGCAGACTCTTCTCCAAAGTGTAGTATCTGTGAAGAAGTATGTACTTATCTCTAACTTGGTGTGTTTGCTCCCAAATAAAGTCTCCAGCCTTGGCTCTGTGTAAGAGGAAATTGGCTTCTGACTCCGGTGGGTGTCATTCTCTCACCCTTTGCAAAGTGATTTTGGTGTTTATCGATAAATGGTATTGAGAACCCAATGTTTCTAACCCCTTTGCCTGTGTTGGTACGCCTGAATTGAATAAATAAAAATGCCCAACAGCTACCATTTGCCAGTTTATGCACTTATATATGGGAGTTCCATTGGGCCGTTCAATGTAGGGGAATTGGCAATTGCCATTTTATGTTAAAACTGTAGGGGCATTTGCAATAGTTTGACATTTACCAGACAAATGTAGGGGAATTGGCAATTCTTTGTCATTTGCCGGACAAATGTAGGGGAAATGGCAATATGCCATTTGCCGGACCAACGTCTAGTGCCCGGCCAAACGGCGAAGGGTCACCTCCGCATTTGCCATTACCCCGACGCTTTTGCCATTCGACATACAAATGTCGGGCTAGTGTCAAAACGGTTGCCATTACCCTGACATTTTGCCATGTGCCGTTGCAATTTGCCATCTGACATACAAATGTCGGAGAATTGACAAGTCGGGCTATTGTCCCTCAAAAAGTCGAACGTCTGACAAATCTGCCACAAGCCTGACCCCATCTCCCCCTGGTGGAAGGGGGAGGTACTGGGACGATCGCCCTACGTCCCCATGCAAACTTTGAAAAATCGCAGCGCGGCCCAAGGGGGCCCCAGAGGGACGCGCCCCGGAGCGCGGGGTGGCCCCCGGGCCCGGCCGCACGGCCAGGGCGCTCTCGGATTTTTGGGGGCCTCGCGGGCCGGGCGGCGGGGGCCCGAAGGGGGCCGGTAATGCGCGGGGGCGTGGCCGTTGGCCGATAACATTGGGTGTAGGGCGTGTGTCCCCCGGAGGCCTTAGGGAGAGGTTCTATTTTCTACGCGCGACGCCTCTGAAACGGGTCAATTTCGACATTTTTGGGGAAGGAAAGACAGGAAATCGGACGCGGAAATGGAGAGAATCTACCGAGATTTTCAGAATAAAGAACGTACTGCCTTCCGGTTACTTTACTTTTAAAAAAGGTTACTAACTGTGCGTCCCCGTGAGAAGTTATCACCTAGCTAGCGGTCTCCTTTGTTTTTCAGGTCCGTATTGGCGATTATAAAACGGACAGAACATAAAACACAAACCATGTTGTAATTTTCTCCTGCTTGTTGTTGTGTTTACTGACGAAGTCACTCGTGTGACTTCGTGCTCTGTCGGTGACAGCTGCTTCCCTGCTGCTTCGCCTCTCGTGGGAAGGGCCAAGCAGCACTTAGACGTGCTGCTGCAGTAACGTGCTGCTGACGGCTCCCGTGGAAACCCGGGGTGAGATGCGCAGAGCTGCCGCTGGGGAGAACCGGGTGGAAAGGTTTCCATCCCAGAGCTCCACAAGCCGTCATTCCCCGCAGCAGACAGAAGCCTCGATCAGACAGAGATGCGCCAAGCTGCGGGGAGGGGAGAACGGGTGGAAAACATCGGTCTTCCGAGAGCTCCACAAGCCGATAGTCGGAACCCAGCTCCACCAACATGTTATATTTCAACCCAACTGCAGCATTATGTTAAATGCACTGGGTTTTACCCTATTACATTTAAATTTCATGGTTAAACAGTACATGTTAAAATCTAAGCTCAGCTCGGCAGTGACCTAAAATACATAAATATAATTTTACTTACCGAAAAAAATGAAGTGGAGACTCCTTGGACGCTCTATTAGTGCAATTAATGCCACAGCAAGTCATTTTGTCCTAGCCTAGTGAACTAGACCAAATTTTTGCTTTGCAAAGAATGGTCTAGGCATGCTCAATTGGAACCTCAGCAGCTCCTACCAGGACTCTGGCTAGCCAATCACAGCTCTCTAGAGGGGTTTCAAACACATAAAGAGCTGTGATTGGTCCATAATGGTGGGCCAATCATAGTGCTCTATCTGCTTGGTGAACAAATCACAGAGCTTTATCCGCTTTGTGGGCCAATCAGGGCACTCTATATGCCTGGTGGGTGGGATGATGCAACAGAGTGAAACAAGAGTATGTCACATTCTTTGTCCAGTGGAATGCGGAGATCATTTGAAAGACAACGGTAGAACCCGCCCCACAACCGTGGAGCGTGGCCAGACTAAATAATACATTTATTTAGTCTGGCTTGCCAGGCTAATTTTGTCCAACAATTGCACAAAAAATATCCAAAAAAGAATACACAAACACAGAGACTCAAAATACCGGCGCAGTTTCCAAGACAGACCGAGGCTCTACTGAGGCCTTTCCACGGAGCTAGCTCTGTGGTCACTTGGGTCTGATGCTCATTAATTATACAGAATTTTAGGCTTTTAATACACTTAAACAGAAGAGTGAGAAAAAAATCACCCCCCTCAGAGTTGTCATGAGTGTAAACTAGATCATTTAAACCAAAATCCTGTTTTGGAACCAGGCTGTAAACATGTTTATTTCTGCTGTGAACTTGGTATTTTTAACATGGGAGTCAATGAGGATTTGCTCGCTTCTGACACCAGCCCCTAGTGGATGAGGGTGGAACTGCAATCTTTGGTACTTCCGGGTTGGCTTTGATTTTAAAGCCGCATTCTGGGGGCTTGGTTTGGACGGTAAAAAGTGCAGGGGTCAAAACTTGTCTTTGGAAAAAGTGGGGGGGACATGTTAATTGTTGCATTGTAAAGGGTGTAAAGGGTTAATTTTACATTTATTTAATGAACCATAAGACATGAGATTCCATAATTGAGATTGCGTTATTATGATACATTAATATTACATGGTAATTTTGTCTTGACAATGTTGCCAATAATATTGTTTGGCATCAATAATTTGCTGGATAATATATTGTCCAGAAAAATGTGTTATCTTCCCAGGCCTGATGGATTTTATAGGAGGAGTTTCTGAGTGTCTGTAGTTCACCAGTTGGTCCAGCAGGTGTCACCTTTGTGCTTTGGTTCAAACAGTGTAGGTAGGAAGTCTCAGGTGGCAGGTGTTGCTGGATGGAGGAGCGTGACGCCACATGGACCTTTACCTTGTGCTTGTCTCTGTGTGGACAGACCGAATGTCAGCTAATTCTTCATGATTCCTCCACAGAGTGGACCAGCAGAGCTCAGAGGTTCCCAGTGGTCAGTCTGCCCAGCAGCATCAAACACAGCTGGACTCCATCTTTATGGTCTGTACATGGACAACAACTACTTTACCGTGTGTTCTGTTCACAGTCGTCTCCATGCTGCTCTTTGTAGACCAGTGGGTTGTCAGTCGGTCCAACACGGATCTGATGTTTGGCTCCATGATTTCAGTCTGATGTGTCATTCAGATATGATTCTGTTCCAGCTGCTGGTGGACAACATCCTCACTTTTGTGAAGAATGAGCTGAAGAAGATCCACAAGCTTCTGAGTTCAGATGACCCAGAATGCCTAGAGAGGCTGAGGGAGGATGAGGAGGTGTTAGAGGGTGAGGATGAAGAGCAGAGGAGGAGCAGCAGAGAAGCGTTTGTGAAGATCACAGATTCTTTCCTGAGGAGGATGAAGCAGGAGGAGCTGGCTGAGCGTCTGCAGAGAAGTAAGAGGATTTGTCTAAAGATTAAACCTGCTGGAGGAATGAAGCACAAACTGATGGATCATTCAGATGTTCACTTCATCATGTTTTGTCTTCATTCAGGACGTGTTGCTGCAGTTAGTCAACAGAAACTTAAAAGTGTTCTGAAGAAGAAGTTCCAGTGTGTGTTTGAGGGAATCGCTGCAGCAGGAAACCCAACCCTTCTGAATCAGATCTACACAGAGCTCTACATCACAGAGGGAGGGACTGGAGAGGTCAATGATGAACATGAGGTCAGACAGATCGAAACAGCATCCAGGAAAGCAGCCAGACCAGAAACATCGATCAGACAAGAAGACATCTTTAAACTCCCACCTGGAAGACACGAACCAATCAGAACAGTGATGACAAAGGGAGTGGCTGGCATCGGGAAAACAGTCCTAACACAGAAGTTCACTCTGGACTGGGCTGAAGACAAAGCCAACCAGAACATCCACTTCCTGTTTCCGTTCACCTTCAGAGAGCTGAATCTGCTGAAGGAGAAGAAGTTCAGCTTGGTGGAACTTGTTCATCACTTCTTTACTGAAACCAAAGAAATCTGGAGCTTTGAAGAGCTCCAGGTTGTGTTCATCTTTGATGGTCTGGATGAGTGTCGACTTCCTCTGGACTTCCACAACAAGGAGATCCTGACTGATGCTACAGAGTCCACCTCAGTGGATGTTCTGCTGACAAACCTCATCAGGGGGAACCTGCTTCCCTCTGCTCTCATCTGGATCACCACGAGACCTGCAGCAGCCAATCAGATCCCTCCTGAGTGTGTTGGCATGGTGACAGAGGTCAGAGGGTTCACTGACCCACAGAAGGAGGAGTACTTCAGGAAGAGATTCAGAGATGAGGAGCAGGCCAGCAGGATCATCTCCCACATCAAGACGTCACGAAGCCTCCACATCATGTGTCACATCCCAGTCTTCTGCTGGATCACTGCTACAGTTCTGGAGGATGTGTTGAAAACCAGAGAGGGAGGAGAGCTGCCCAAGACCCTGACTGAGATGTACGTCCACTTCCTGGTGGTTCAGACCAAAGTCAAGAAGGTCAAGTATGATGGAGGAGCCGAGACAGATCCACACTGGAGTCCAGAGAGCAGGAAGATGATTGAGTCTCTGGGAAAACTGGCTTTTGATCAGCTGGAGAAAGGAAACCTGATCTTCTATGAGTCAGACCTGACAGAGTGTGGCATCGATATCAGAGCAGCCTCAGTGTACTCAGGAGTGTTCACACAGATCTTTAGAGAGGAGAGAGGAGGACTGTACCAGGACAAGGTGTTCTGCTTCGTCCATCTGAGTGTTCAGGAGTTTCTGGCTGCTCTTCACGTCCATCTGACCTTCAGCAAGTCTGGAGTCAACCTGATGGGAGGAGAAGAAATAAAAAAGAGAATATCTTCATTTAAGAAACCCAAAATAAAACATCTCCACCAGAGTGCTGTGAACAAGGCCTTGGAGAGTCCAAATGGACACCTGGACTTGTTCCTCCGGTTCCTCCTGGGTCTTTCACTGCAGACCAATCAGACTCTCCTACAAGGCCTGCTGACACAGACAGGAAGTAGCTCACAGACCAATCAGAAAACAGTCCAGTACATCAAGGAGAAGATCAGTGAGAATCAGTCTCCAGAGAAAAGCATCAACCTGTTCCACTGTCTGAATGAACTGAATGATGTTTCTCTAGTGGAGGAGATCCAACAGTCTCTGAGTTCAGGAAGTCTCTCCACAGATGAACTGTCTCCTGCTCAGTGGTCTGCTCTGGCCTTCACCTTACTGTCATCAGGAAAAGATCTGGATGTGTTTGACCTGAAGAAATACTCTGCTTCAGAGGAGGTTCTTCTGAGGCTGCTGCCAGTGGTCAAAGCCTCCAACAAAGCTCTGTAGGTCCAGATCCAGCAGGATGTTTCTAAATCTGTTAATGTTGTTTTTTTATTTCATTTATTTAGGAAGGTCCCCTTGTGATCAAAAACTTCATTTTCAAGTGATTCCTGGCCACAAGGCAGCAAAATTTAAAGTCACATTTCTCAGTTACACAGTTAGTTCTATACAACGCTATAGAAGAAAGGCCTCTCTCTCCCCCGACAAACACTGAGAGATAAGACAGGGTTATATACACAGGGGCTGGGGGAACTGGGAACAGGTGAGACGTATTCACTGAGTAGAGAAGCCAAACAAAGCAAATGAGGAAACTAGGCCTAAAAACCTGTAAAACAAAAACTACTGAACATAAACTAACTTAAACACTTAAGAATTAAAGACACTGGAGAACTAAATATAAATAAATGAATGACCTAAAGAGTTACAGAACTAAATACACACAAAGGCAGGGTATAATAAGAGTACCTGATCTAAATGAATGCCACAACAAGGAGGGGAGACATGAAGGGAAACAGGAGACAAGGACACAAAACGTGACATAATCATTATGCTGTCTGCAGACACTGAGTGGACAATCTAAAGTCTGGAGAGCATAATGATGACTAATGGTCACAAATAGAACAGCAGAGTGATACATAACATCCTGGTGTCACGCTGACGGGCAGGAGGTTTGAACCCAAGATGCAGAACACCAGATCACTCAGACAGGAGTGGATGTAAAGTAAAGAAGTAAATTCTTTATTTTTTTAAGGTGGAGGCTTATTGCAGCGGTCAAAACACAAAAACAGAAGCTCAAAAACATGAGCAAGGACTCAGGCAAAAACACGGGAGGGAACAGAACAGCACAGACACATACAATGCACCGACAAACACTGAAGGACAAGACAGGGTTTTTAAACACAGAGGAAGGTGATCAGGGGAACAGGTGACAGGTGTGCGAAATGAGAGCTGGAGGGAAGGCAGGTGCGTACATTAATCTAAATGGTGGAAAGAAACAAGCAGGAGGGCAGATAAACCTCTAAAACACAGATAACTATACTTAAAGACTGAGGGCAAATATAAAAAACTAATAACTAGAGGGATGAGGAGAACTAATATAAAATCAAGTGGGGACTAACAGGGAGTGATTAGGAGGACACCAGAGGGAAGGCTAGAGAGAACTGAGGAGAACCTGGTGGAATCAATTAACTAAATGGGAAGAGAAAGCTTGACAGGAGGGCAGATAAACATAACCCTATAACGAGAAACCACAGGGTGGGAGAGGAGGGACCAAACATAAAACAACCCACAAGGCCGGGCGAGGAGGAAACAGGGAACTCAGGGAGGCCGGCGACGGGGAACCAGGGACCAGGAGAGTCTAGGGAATCTGGGGTGCCGGCGACGGGGAACCAAGAGCCGGGACCAGGGGAATCTGGGGGGCCAGCAACGGGGAACCAAGAGCCGGGACCAGGGGAATCTGGGGGGCCGGCAACGGGGAACCAAGAGCCGGGACCAGGGGAATCTGGGGGGCCAGCAACGGGGAACCAAGAGCCGGGACCAGGGGAATCTGGGGGGCCGGCAACGGGGAACCAAGAGCCGGGACCAGGGGAATCTGGGGGCCTGCGTCTGGAGCAGAGGAGGAGATGATGACGTGCTCTTGGGGGCCTGCGTCCGGAGGAGAGGAGGAGACGACGGCGGGCTCTTGGGGGCCTGCGTCTGGGGCAGAGGAGGGGACGGCGACGGGCTCTTGGGGACCTGCGTCCGGGGCAGAGGAGGAGACGGCGACGGGCTCTGGGAGGCTCGCGCCCGGCGAGAGCAGGACCGACGGCGACCGGAGGCAGAGACGCTGGAGGAGACAACGTCGACTTCTGGACTGCAAGAGGAGAAGTCAAATCAAATCAAATCAAATCAACTTTATTTATATAGCACTTTTCATACAAAAAATGCAACTCAAAGTGCTTTACAGATTAAAAAAGTCGACCTCTGGATTGGAAGAGGAGACGTCGACCTCTGGACTGGAGGAGGAGGCGTCGACCTCTGGACTGGAGGAGGAGGCGTCGACCTCTGGACTGGAGGAGGAGGCTTCGACCTCTGGACTGGAGGAGGAGGCTTCGACCTGTGGACTGGAGGAGGAGGCGTCGATCTCGGGACTGGAAGAGGCATCAGCCTCTGGACAGGAGGCGTTGACTTCAGAACACGAGGAGGCATCGACTTTAGGGCCGGAGGCATCAACTTCTGGTCCGGAGGTGTCGACTTCTGCCGACTTCTGGACCGCCGACTTCTGGACCGTCGACTTCTGGAGTGGAGGCGGAGCCGCTGCGAGAGGGGCCGCCGAATTCTGGAGTGGAGGCGGAGCTGCTGCAGATGGGACCGCTTCATTGGCTGGTGCCGCTGGACTGGGTGCTGACAACTGGAAGGGCTGACCCGGGGGCGGCGCCTGTTGGACCACAGCTGGAACAGGTGCTGACTAGACGGGTGGCGCAGGACCTGGCGCTGACTTGACTGGTGGCGCGGGACCTGGTACTGACTTGACTGGTGGTACGGGACCTGGCGCTGCCTAGACGGGTGGCACCGGACCTGGCGCTGCCTGGACGGGTGGCGCGGGATCTGGCGCTGACCAGACTGGTGGCGCGGGACCTGGCGCTGACCAGACTGGTGGCGCGGGACCTGGCGCTGACCAGACTGGTGGCGCGGGACCTGGTGCTGACCGGACTGGTGGCGTGGGACCTGGCGCTGACTGGACTGGTGCCTCTTGGATGGACTGGACCGGAGCCTCGCGGACGGGCCGGACCAGAGCCTCGCAGACGGGCCGGACCGGAGCCTCGTGGACGGGCTGGAGCTCGGACTGAGCTGGAGGTGATCGTAGGTGGAGCTGGCGACGGTCGTCGACGAGAACGGCTCATCGGAGGTGCGGGGATGACGCCGGTGGTGCTATTTGGAACAGGTGGGGGTGTGGTGGCTCGGCCCATCGGAGGTGCCATGATGGTGCCGGCAGAAGCACGAGGACAAGGGTGAAGAACAGCCCACCAGGGATGAGTAGGCAGTGCTGTCCGGACTGGGTGGAGGTATGGAGGTTAGGCCCCTCGGAGATGCAGAGAGGGCGCCTAATAAAGCGGAGGCAGCTGACAGATGGCAGTCCACTGGAGAAAAGTCAGTAGTGCTGCCTGGGCCAGATGAAGATGTGGAGGTGTGTGGAGAAGATGGTTGAGGGTTGCAGAAGGCGTCTTGCAGAGCCTTGGCGAAATACCAAAAAATAATCTCCTCAATGGGGTGAAGCTCGAAATAGCAGGCAGCCCATTTCAGGGCTCTACCCTGTAGACAGAGCACCATAAAAGAAACTAAATCAATGTCAAAGCAATCCAAGTCCATAAAATGCACACAGTCCCAAATAAAATTCCGACAGGCGTCCGGGTTACCGTCGAAGGAGTACATCCCTTGACTCAGGTCTGAATTACCTGGGGTTACTGCTGGGTCCTGGGTTGGTCGGTCCATTCTGTCATGCTGACGGGCAGGAGGTTTGAACCCAAGATGCAGAACACCAGATCACTCAGACAGGAGTGGATGTAAAGAAGTAAATTATTTTTTTTAGGGTGGAGGCTTAATCCAGCGGTCAAAACACAAAAACAGAAGCTCAAAAACATGAGCAAGGACTCAGGCAAAAACACGGGAGGGAACAGAACAGCACAGACACATACAATGGACCGACAAACACTGAAGGACAAGACAGGGTTTTTAAACACAGAGGAAGGTGATCAGGGGAACAGGTGACAGGTGTGAGTAGTGAGAGCTGGAGGGAAGGCAGGTGCGTACATTAATCTAAATGGTGGAAAGAAACAAGCAGAAGGGCAGATAAAACTCTAAAACACAGATAACTATACTTCAAGACTGAGGGCAAATATAAACAACTAACAACTAGAGGGATGAGGAGAACTAATATAAAATCAAGTGGGGACTAACAGGGAGTGATTAGGAGGACACCAGAGGGAAGGCTAGAGAGAACTGAGGAGAACCTGGTGGAATCAATTAACTAAATGGGAAGGGAAAGCTTGACAGGAGGGCAGATAAACATAACCCTATAACACTTGGATGTAACTAAACCTAAAAGACAGAGGGCAAAATAAACACTAATACCCAGATAGGTGAGGAGAACTAATCTAAAGACAACTAGGAAAACCAGGGAGTGACTAGGAGGACACAAGAGGAGAGTCTGGAGTGGGAACAGGAGGGGGCTGGGGAACAAAGGGACACAGAACATGACACCTGGTGATGTTGGAAAGATGGATGCAGTGGCGGCTCCAGAAATGTTTTTCTGCAGGTGCTATGAAGGAGTTAGTATTTTTATTGAGGGTGCTATGAAGGAAGTGTTCATGCGTACCTATTGTTCTCTAAAACACCTTCAACACTAGCAGATACACATGCGTGCACAACACCTCAACAACACCTGAAACAATCATTAATATACATCATAAACATATGAACAATCGCTGACTTTGCCATGAAATCATAAACACATACAGCCACACAGAAAACCATCTATAGTGTTGCAAGGTTAGCTAACGTTAGTGTTAGCATTTCCAGCGGCAAAACCCTCGATTCTTGCGGCGGTTGAGGGTTGACTCTCTTCATCCAGATCCGTAGGTGTTTGTGGGTCTGAGATCACTTCCTTTTTTTTTTTTTTACCGTGTCCTGTCTGGCTGTGAAGCAAGCAGAATTGATGTCTGAATGCTGGTGACAAGCCTTACAGATTTACTCTCAGGTGGAGCATCAAAGCGTTTGCTTTTAATGTCACGCCTGATACTTAAAACTTTATTGTTATTGTTGTTGAATGCTTTGTAATTCCGACCAGACACGGAGACAGAGGTGAAAGAGAAAGGAAGAGAAAAGGTGGGGAGAGAGGGGGGGTTCCACAAAAATAAACAATGAACAAGAGTCTGCTTCGAGACCTGCAGAAAAAGACAAAAAAAAAGCAAAAGGACAAAAAAAAAGGGACACAACAACAATACAACAAGATCTAGCTATCACTGCGTCAACTTGATGAAAAAATATATAATCAAAATTGCTTAACTGAAGAATCACGATAATAAATCACAATGCATTAAGTGCCCACCATAGTCTTAAGACCTGTGTTGAACGTGCCCAAGCCCATACTTTTGAGAGCACCATGTGAGCACCTGTGTGTGTACACGTGCTTGTTTATGTAAGGTTTCTCTATAGGTGCGTCCAACAGAAAGTGTGAGGGACCACAGATCCGCCCCCCAAAGATGCGCAGGAGACGGGGGGAGCTCCAAGTCCCAGGGATCCAGGCGCTGCCCCAGAACACAGGAACCCCAAGGAGACTGCAACCAGAAAGGCCCCCGCCCCCCTCGAGAGGCACAGAGGATCGCCCCGGGGGGGCCACAACCAGCAGCCGGCAGAGTCCCGGGAGATATCAGTGGCAAGCCCACAGGCCCGCCCGCAGCCTCCCACCCCCTAGCCAGCCGAGCCCGGGACCCAGGGGCGACCACCCCCGCCGGGGACCCAGCAGAGCCCAGGGACCCAGACCCCACCAGGCAGCCACCGGGATCTATCAGGTAGATGTCAAAATCTTAAACCCCCAGACCCGGTTGCCACGAACACTCAGGCAGACCACGGCACAACCCCTCACACCAGGTGTGGCAGGGGGAGGGGGGGACAAAGATCTATATCATCAAGAGAAGATCCAGGAGAGGGGAGGAGTCAAAGACCCCACCTGACATATACAGTCATACACAAACACAGTCACACACTCCCTCCCTCATGCTCACACATGCACATACAACCCAAGACTTACAAAAATGCACGCCGGACACCCACTCATGCTCCCCATACACACCCTATTCACTCTGGTCCCGGTACTGCTGCACATGGGGTACAACCATCACCGGTAACCAGAGTTTGACCCTTTCTGCTGGGGTGCTGATGAGCAGGCTCCCCCGCCCAACGCTGAGCACAGCAACCCACCACCCCAGACCCCAACCAGATGGCCAGATCCCCCTCCTAGCCTCCAGCCCCAGGAAGCCTAGCAACAACAGAGGTGGCAAAGACCCCTAGTCTCCCTCCGCCTGTTCCAATATAGTGTTGTGTAATCATGAGGTGTATTCCATGGCTATGGTGAGTGGGCAGTGCGGGCATTATCCGGCCTATGCCCACTGATGCCACCACCCCACTCACACCTTCAGCCATCAGTGTCTAAGTGCGGTTTAAAAATGGAAGTGGGCACTGGCACCCGGGAGGAGGCTGAAATATCCCCCTGCCAAATGCCGTTGAATGTGTTCACTCCCAAGGCCCTAAGTGTGTGTTTGTGTGGAATGTTGTCAGTGGAAGCGTATAAGGTGCAAATAAAATTGGGGGGCAGGTTGCCACAGGAATGCGGAAATGGGGTCCATACCAGCACTCCCTCACTTCCAAAGATTCATTCGCTTCTGACTGAACCCGTGGAAATGTGGGCAACAAAAACCAATCCATTTTACCGCTAGCTCTACCTTTCACTCGTTTGCAGGTGGAAAATGAGGTCAAAGGTCAACATCAATTTCCTGTTTTGGTTTAAGTTTTTACTATCTATATGATAATTTACTGAATATTTTTGTTTTGTATGTTAAATATTATCACATCCACACCTTAAATTAAAATTAAATAGTAAAAAAAAAAAAAAAAAATCTAATATTTACTTTGGGGTGCTATGGGGGTGCAGTGACTAATCCTGGGGTAGCTATAGCGCCCCCTAGCGCCCCCCTGGCGCCACCACCTCACTAAAGGTCTAAAACCAGAGTGAGTTTAGGTAAAGCTGTGCTGACATAGGTCTAAAATAAGAAACCTTCACACATCAGATGTTGCTTTGGTGTTCGTGTTATTTAGTTTTCTTTATTAACATATTTGTACATTTTTCTATCCAGGCTGAGTGTCTCTAACCTGTCAGAGAGAAGCTGTGAAGTTCTGTCCTCAGTTATCAGCTCCCAGTCCTCTGGACTCAAAGAACTGGACCTGAGTAACAACAACCTGCAGGATTCAGGACTGAAGCTTCTGTCTTCTGGACTGAAGAGTTCACACTGTCACCTGGAGACTCTCAGGTCAGGATCAGGACCCGGGGTCAGACTCTTGTATGCCTCAGTTCCCAAAGATCACAAACCCAGTTCATTCATGATTCAGCTCCATGTTTAACTGATGACCAAGTGAAGAGTTGCTTTATTAATTACTAACAAAACATTTTTTAATGTTCTTCATGTATTTGATCACCAGAGTTCTGTCTCTTTGTTTGGTCTCCCTTCTCTATTGGAAGTTACTAATCTACCAAGTTACTCATCTGTCCTGTGTGTTGTTGTTTATCCTGTGTGTTATTTTGTGTGTCTGCAGCCTGTCAGGTTGTCTGATCACAGAGGAAGGCTGTGCTTCTCTGGCCTCGGCTCTGAGCTCCAACCCCTCCCATCTGAGAGAGCTGGACCTGAGCTACAATCATCCAGGAGACTCGGGAGTGAAGCTGCTGTCAGCTGGGCTGAAGGATCCACACTGGAGACTGGACACTCTCAGGTATGGAGACACCTGCTGCAGATGCTCACAGTTTCTGGTAAAGGAGTTAGGGGACTTTTCTCTTCACAATGACCATTTGGGTCATTCAGTGGCTGGAAAAGACAACCAAACATATTTGTTCATATTTACAAAAAACTCTAAAACTACTGCAGCTTGGCTAGAGGCTCAGCTCGTTCGCCCCAGTGGGGCCTCTTTAATATAATAATCAGGCTGTTTAGGTACAAAATATGAACGTCTGTAAGCAGCATGACATGTTCCAAAGTGCTGAACAATAAAAACATGTAAACAATAAATAATTAATACAGTGGCAACAACATTATAAAAGTCACAGTAAAAACCAACCACTTCAATCAAAGGCCAGAGAAAAGGTGAGTCTTCAGGCAAGATTTAAACACAAGAAGAGTCAGTTTGTTTTACACTTGTAGGCAGCTCATTCCTCAACCTGGGACACAAAACGAACAGTGTTGAAGCGTTCCAGTAAAATGTTCTTGTTCTCATAAACTGAACTAAGTGGTCAACTGTGAAAGTTCCATCATGTCTGTGCTCATGGTGACCTCTGACCTTTAACTCTGTTAACTTCCAGTCTGTCTGACCTAAACTTTTTGATCACTAACTTTTCTTTTACACACTGATGGAAGCTGCAGCTTCTGTGCTGAACAACATCTCCAATGTATCCTCTTAGATGTCGTTATGAGTGGAGGTATCAGTGAGCATGCACCAGCAGGCTGTGTTCATGAAGTTGCTGCATTCCACTGCATCGCGTGTAGTACTATACTGTTCCACTAGGGGCAAACTAGATAACTCAGCCCAGATAGAGAGCCGGGTTTGTGGGTACAACCAAAACAAACATGGTGTCAAGACATCAGTAGCTGGTTAATTTTGAGATCACGGCAGAAAAAGTTGTCGTCTCAGCTGCTGGACGACTGGGGCATGGAGGACATCGACCACGTCTTCACTGAGGAAGACTACCGCTCTCTGACCAACTACAAAGCTTTCAGCCAGTTTGTCAGACCCCTCATTGCAGCCAAGAACCCTAAGATTGCCGTTTCTAAGATGATGATGGTTCTGGGAGCCAAGTGGCGCGAGTTCAGCACCAACAACCAGGGGCGGCGTTAGGCCCGGCTACTTGGGCTGAAGCCCCGGATCTTTCATGATAAGCCCCGGATCTAAATCGCGGAAGTAACATGCAGTACCAAAGTCACACAGAGAGGGCGCAGCTGGCAGTAGTTTGTAAAGTCCCATTTAGTCGTCACACACACAGGTGTGTGGTGAAATTTATTCTCCGATTTTGACCCATCCCCTGAGTTGCAGACACGCCGCGCTCGGGAACTATTTGGTGGTTTAATCCCCCAATCCAACCCCAATCCAATGCTGAGTGGCATTGGGTCCCATTTTTCTCAAAATCTTTGGTATGACCCGACCAGGAGTCGAACCCCTGATCTCCCGATCTCAGGGCAGACACTCTACCACTAGGCTACTTAGTCAGTATACAGTTTACCTGAGACTGAAGAGAAGCCCTTCAGCAGCTGGCATCTGCAGTCTGTCTGAAACGCATGAGTGAAGATGGATATAAGGACGTTTTTTTAGGCCAAAAGTACAACGACAGAACCCCAGCTCTGATGAGACTGGTGTTGACTCAGGTTTGTGAGTCTTATTTGAAAATATTTGTTGTGCTGCTGGTTTGCCTAAAGTTAGCTTACTATCAGGTAAAGTTGTTGGAGAAAGAAAGGGAATATTCACTATCATCTCACACTAAACACTAACAGGAACAATACTCTGCCCTGAATATGCTGAATATGTAGCTTCAGATTAAACATTATGTGGTACAAGACAAATATATATGATGTTGACTAGTGCGTGTCACGTGTGTGCGCGCATGCGTGTGCGTGCGCGTGCGCGCGCGTGTGTGTGCGCGCGCGTGTGTGTTAAGCCCCGGATCTTCTTCAGTCCTAAATCTGCCCCTGCCAACAACCCTCTGAGAGGTGCCGCTGCCGCTATCGCCGCCCTGGCCACCGCCAACGTCTCTGCTGCTGTGGTCAACATGGTGGCAGAGGTGGCCCCTGTAGCCGTGGCCCTGCTGCCCACCCCTAAGCCCGTGCAGACCCCTGCACCTCCCCTCCGCAAGGCCAAGACCAAGGAAGGCAAAGGACCCAACGCTCGCAGAAGGTCCAAGCCTACCCCGAAGCCTCAAGAGAAGAAGAATAACGCCAAAACAAAGGAGTTTGCACCTTTAAAAACAAACTCGGAGGCTTCAGCAGCAAGAGGTAACGCTCGTCGAGCGAGGAGGACGAGCCGGACGTGGACAGCGACTTTGAAAACAGGAGCGTCAACAGCATCTTGGTGTCGGAGAGCTCGAACAGTCGCAGCAGCCGCAGCAAGAAGAAGGCCCTGAAGAACAAACCCAAAAAGAAGAAAGAAGCAGAAGATGGCGACGGGTACGAAACAGACCACCAGGACTACTGTGAGGTGTGTCAGCAGGGTGGAGAGATCACCCTGTGTGACACCTACCCCCGAGTGTACCACATGTTCTGTCTAGATCCCGACATGGAGAAGGTGCCCAAGGGCACCTGAAGCTGCCCGCACTGCAAGAAAAAGGGCATCCAGTGGGAAGCTAGAGAGGATGCCTCCGAAGGGGAGGAAGACAACGGCGACATGGGAGGGATGGAGGAGGACGATCACCACATGGATTTCTGCAGAGTTTGTAAAGACAGAGGAGAGCTCCTCTGCTGCGACTCGTGTCCCTCGTCCTACCACATCCAATGTCTCAACCCCCCACTGCCCGAGATCCCCAACAGGGAGTGGATCTGCCCCCACTGCACATGTCCAGCCTTAAATGGGAAAGTGCAGAAGATCCTAACGTGGAGGTGAGGGAACGCCCCTCTCCCCACACCCGTCCCCCGCACTCTAGACCTCATGACCGACGCTCCCGATCCTGCTCCTTTTGCAGGATGCTCCGAGAGGGAGTTCTTTGCCAAATGGTGCAACTTGTCATACTGGCATTGCTCCTGGGTCAACGAGCTCCAGCTGGAGATGCACTGCCAGGTGATGTTCAGGAATTACCAGAGGAAGACCGACATGGACGAGCCGCCGCCCATCGACTTCGGCAACGGAGAGGAGGACAAGTGCGTGAAGCGGAAGCACAAAGATCCCATGTTTTTTCAGCTGGAGGAGAAATACCTCCGCTTCGGGATCAAGATGGAGTGGCTGATGATCCACCTCATCCTGAACCACAGCGTGGACCGTAAGAACAACGTCAACTACCTGATCAAGTGGAAAGAGCTGCTGTACGACCAGGCCACCTGGGAGTCCGAGGACATGGACATACCCGATTTTGACACCTACAAGTAGCAGTACTGGAACCACAGAGAGCTGATTATTGGAGAGGATGGGAGACCAGGAAGGAAGATCAAGGTGAAGGGGAGGGTGAAGTGACCGGAGAGGCCTCCCGAGAACCCGGTGATCGATCCGACAATGAAGTTTGAGCGCCTGTCGGAATGCCTGGAAAGCACCGGGGGCACGCTGCACCCCTACCAGCTTTGCCTTGGCCCCCAAAATGTCTTGAAACGGCCCTGGGTGTGTGACTGAGTTTTGAAGGTGATCTGAATTGTATCAGATGTATAAATATTACATGTGTGTAACTTATTGTTTATACAGGTAAAAACGTGTGGTGGAGATAAATCTACCTACATTTTACTTTTCAACACTTTGTTTTGTTTTCTTGTTTTTATTTCTTGTTCCCTAAGGTTTTTAAAGATGCGGTTGTTCAGCCGATATTGAAAAAACCTGTTTTGGATCCCTCCACTTATGAGAACTTCCGCCCTATATCGAAAGTCCCGTTTCTCTCGAAGGTCCTTGAGAAAATTGTGCATGGTCAGATCACTGCCCATATGAACAACAACTTGTTGCTGGATGTGTTTCAGTCAGCCTTTAAACCAAACCATAGCACTGAGTCTGCTTTGATTAGGGTGCTAAATGGCATTCTGGTGGCATCTGACTCTGGGTCTAGGGTACTGCTGCTCCAGCTGGACCTTTCAGCGGCTTTTGATACAGTCGATCACCATATTTTACTGGATTGGCTTGGGTCTTGGGTTGGGGTGATGGGGGTGGCGCATAAATGGTTCCGCTCCTACCTATCAAACCGTACCATCTCTGTACAGATTGGTGACTGTGCATCCTCCAGTCTTCCACTGCCTTGGGGGGTGCCACAAGGTTCCGTTCTTGGGCCATTGCTGTTTTCAATCTACCTTCTGCCTCTGGGCAATATCCTGAATCAGCATGGCCTGAGCTATCACATCTATGCAGATGACTGTCAGCTATACATGGAAATGGACGCGAAGAATGCGGGCTCGAATTTGGCTGCATGTATGGATGACGTGAAGGGCTGGCTGGCATCCAACTTCTTAAAACTGAATGAAAAGAAGTCTGAGTTTACTGTTTTTGACCCCCGCAACCACAATGGCTCTCACCCTGTTTGTGACCTTTTAACCCTTAACCCCAAACAGTGTGTGACAAGTCTCGGGGTCAAGCTGGATGCTGGACTCACAATGGCCCCACAGATAAACTCTGTAGTGAGGTCTTGTTTTTATCAGCTTCGCCGCCTTACTCACCTCAGACGAATCCTGAAACGGAGGCATTTGGAGTCAGTCATTCATGCCTTCATTACCTCTCGCCTGGACTATGCAAACGCCCTCCTCGTTGGTGTTCTGGACTCTGCCCTGAATCGGCTGCAGGTTGTTCAGAACGCTGCTGCCCGGTTCTTGACGGGTACACACCGACGTAGCCACATTACCCCTGTCCTGGAACATCTTCACTGGCTCCCTGTCATTTTCAGAGTGCAGTTTAAGTTACTGACTTTTGTTTTTAAAGCACTCAATGACCTGGCACCTCCCTACCTCTCTGCCCTTCTCACTCCATATGTTCCCACTCGCACTTTGAGGTTGGCTGACCTTTTGCTGCTGTACACGCCGCGGATGAGACTCAAATCGCGGGGTGATCGAGCA